TTTTTTAATTAATTTTGTTTTTATTTTATAAATTGATACATTAAAATTATTATAAATAATTTATTTATTTATTTATTGTAATTTAAGTAAATCATATATTGTAAAAATTTGTATTTTGATATAATAATAAATTTCAATAAATTTCAATAATGTATTAATAAAAACCTAAGTAAATTTATTTTTTATATTCTTATTAATACATTTTTAAATTTTTATTTTATTTTATCAATTATTTATTGAATTGTAAATAAAAATACAAATTGAAAATTTGTTTAAAAATTTTTTAGATGAGCTGTATATATATTCTTATATAAATCAAATAAAGAAATAATATTTATCTATTAAAAAAAACATTTAAATAAATACAATAAATTATTATTGTTGGGTATTCAATAGATTTAACTTAAAGAATTTATTTTTAAACTTTTTATAAAAATCAGTATTAATATAAAATTTATATAAAATTATAAATTCTATCATATGAAAAAAAATTTTTATTGATAAAAATATTAAGAAATAATTGTTTTAATAAATTTATATATCAAACCAATTTTATAATTTTATATACGTAATTTAGAATATTGACTTAAAATTCAACATATTTATAAAATATTTAAAAGTAAATTTATTTTTATATGCTCAGGTATGTGTAATTAATGTGATAATTAATTATTTTAAAACCAAAACATAAAATTAAAAATTTTTTATATTTATAGAATATATTTTTCTTAATAATTTTTGATATTATAAAATTTCGAAAGTTATTGATTCTTTTAAATGAAACTTTAAATAAACCATTTAATAATCATTTTTTAATCGATGTAAAAAAATATTGACAATTTATTTTATTATTGATTTAGAAATTCTATTTTTTTTTTATCATTCATGTGTCAATATATTAATTAATTTACAGTATTTAATCTAATAATTGAATTACAGATAAACTTGATTTTTTTTGTGTACGCATACACCAACAGATATACTAGATATTCTCAACATATACCATTCTTGATTTCATGATTATGCAGTGACCCATCAATCTTTCGGAGGGCCTTTCTTACCTATTAAACAGACACGTTTTTGCAATTTTGACAGTTTGATATGCGGAGTGCAGACTTGAATATGCAAGATGTAAGTATTTCATAACTTTTATGGACTGTTGCGCATTACACACATCGTACACATATCGTACACATCGAATATATACAGTAATAAGAAAAGGAAATTTGTGTAATATATAGGGAACGCGTCGCGAAGGGCAAATATTACATTATTGAATTGTAGAACTCAAATCATGCTATAATCAAACGTAAAAAAATCTTTTGAATGAATAAGAAGAATACGATTTATTTGTTAAACTTTTTTTTTTCATTTGTTCTCATGAAAATTTTGTTTCACGTGAAGTTAATCGTCCATGTTTGTGATTATGATTTTTTTTTGGAGAAAATTAAAACATGTCAACCTAAGCATCACCATTCAATGCCTGATAGGAAAAATTACTGTCTTCTGCTTCCCGCCATTTCCGTCCCCGACAATAAACCCATATCAGACAAGAAGTGCTCAACACCGTTATGCCTACCAGTAACGTATATGTCCATCCCACACCTAATGCATCTTCCAACGGTATAGATATTAATGATGAAATGGCTGCCGAGATACCTCGGAGAAAATTTGAAACAGCTATTGCAGACGCACTACGACCCGGGAAGGCGTCGACAAGATAGGTAGAGGTGGAATTGAATGCTAGATAGGTAGAAAAACCGCCTGTACGTTGATAAAACATTGACACCGTTAAATGAAGAAGGTGAACTTTGGTTCAAATGAATTATAGATGCGTTTCAATGCAACTTACCAAGGAACATCGCGATCAGTGGTAAATAAAGAGGCAACTTAAATTCTACAAACCATCCATAAACAAAAAACGAAATTGGTATGAGCACTGCACCAAGCCACGAACTATTTAGTCTCATCTCCGGATAACTTATCCCACCATTCCGTGTTTTATACTTGGCCAATACAAAATCAGAATATCGGCCTCCAATGACACTTCCTAACATATACCCAGCACTGGGGGCCAGGAATACTAAGCCTACTTCTGCTGTTGACAAGTTGTACAATTTCTCAAATGACCGAGGTACAAGAGTATTTTGCGCAAATATTATGGCAAATACAGCACATATGTATACTTGAATTAATGAAACCCACGGATATTTTAGCAGTTCCAAAGAGGAAAAGGGGTTAAATCGTTTCGGAGAATCAGGAACAGTTGGTTGTCGGAGTAAGGTATGGGGGCGTTTTTGGGGACGAAAGGTTTCTGGAAGCGCAAAGAAGATAAAGGCCAGCAAGATCGTACCGAATAATGTTAACATCCAGAATATCCAACGCCACCCAAGGTATTGAGTCACATAACCTCCGATGATTGGGCCGAGGAGGGGACCTACCAGAGGTCCTACGTAAAAGATTCCGTATGAACTGCCTCGTTCTACAAAATTACAATTGTATGATTTTAACCTCTTTTTATGTTTTTGAATGAAGTGATGGGCCGGGCTTACCGTATGAATCATAAATATCACTAATAGTTCCTGCACCTATACTCTGTACCGCTGACGACCCACAAGATTGCAAACCACGCATCAACATCAATGTCCAAATATTCCAAGAAAATCCACATATTACACTGGTGATGATGAACAACGTGAACGACACTAAATAGATTTTCCGTCGTGTACCATAGGCATCTGAGTAAGATGCCCATACCAGGGGCGCTGCTCCCTTGAAAAATATATAGACGGAGACTATTTTGTTTAAAAAAGAGATTAAATTTTTGTGTTCGTCTTTTTATAATCACGTGATAAAGATGTTACCTAGTCCATTTGCCAGAACGGCACTAGTATGCAGATCGTCCTTGATTACGGGAATTGCCGGGTAGAGAATTCTAAGTTTGCACAAATTAATCATTACTTCACTCTTACCAGGAAATAAAACCTTTTTCAAATAATAGTAAGAATAATAACATACGTGCTGGCAATTGGACCAATAATCCCCGCAGCAGCGACGATAAATAAAATGAAGTTTTTTTTCGTCCTCGACCATTTCCTCGGATCACTCTGACCAATATTAATAAAATCTTCGTCTTGACTTGACGGTGTCGACACTTCTGAACTAGCTTCGTTATCATTGTTGTCAGATTCACTCGATGAGGGCTTCTTTTGCAAAAGTTCTGCAGTATTCACAGAAAGATTATTGAGTCTACGGTCTTTTCTCGAAGGCGCTAACGTAGGTGCTGATGTCTCCTTAGAATTGTGAGTAGTTAGCCCCGAATTTTGAATTAGAGATGGTTGCGAAAGGTTCTTGTTGTTCACTGAAAATAAATTGCTATCCTTCTGGGGAGATTCGTCTAGATAATTTAAGGGCTGACCATTCACGGAGGTTGATTTTAGATTAACCGGCGTTGTGTCAGCTTCCATTGTTGCAGGTTCGTTTCCTTTTAACTTAGGGGCTACTGAGTTTTCCATTTAATTGATTTATGTTCAGAAAATATTCTTGAGCGTATCAGGTTCTTAAAAGTAGAAAGGGAAATCACAGGACATCAAAAAATAAAATGACATGAAAACGGATAAAAATGTCGGAAAAGAAAATTATCTGAGAACTAAACGATCTTATATTGCTTATATTATTTACATCTGGTATTGCAATCAAACACGGATCATGAATAAATAAACAATAAATAAATAGAATAGACTCCGAGAGTTAAAGTAAACTTTAAATAGTATAAAATAAATCTTAATTTGACAATGTCCTGGGGACAAAGTGAGGGTTCCCGCGGGAAAAATCGGATAATAATAGGCAAGCATGTATGCGATACAGGAGACGTAGTACATCATGATGTCGTTCGGAAATGTGTTCGGACATATAAGATATAAATGACGTGAAAGTATTACACATTCCCAGTGGTAATTTTGAAGAATAGAACTTTCTTCACTGATAAATGTAGATAAACAAGCTTCAAACTAGATGAGGTCAGGGCGAAGCCCGTGTTATAGTATTTCTTAAAACGGGAGAGGATTATAGAAGATACATTTGCTTTGTTCTCTATGAATTCATATTAAAACTCCGTATCTTGATCAGCTAGCAACGAAAAAGGCGATGGTAATAATGGTTGATTACTATGATTGGCTTAGTCTATCAATGTATATAATAATCATTGATGTATGTTTCGGAAAGGCTAGTCGCTACCCGATTTTATTATAACGGCGGAGATGGAAACTAATCTTTGTGAGCTAGGGAAAGAATCTCAGTAATATAAATATACTCTAAAGCCACTGTTGTCTTTGCGGTGGCTGCAGTCGGGTTGATGATGGCCCGAAAGGAAAAAGACGATGCATAAGAAATCTTAGCATGACGCAGGTGAGGTCAGATTTCCTTCATCAATAAGCAGCCACTATCGAAGGAAAGGAAATTATGTCGACAAACGTTCAAACCATTTAGAATTCATCATCTGTTGGTATTGACCAATCTCCTACGGCAGATATCTTTTGTATCCGGTGGAACGCAATTTTTTCGTATGTTTTAATTATCGCAAGTTTGTGTAATGTATAAATCTAAGATACAATTTTGACTTGTGTACTTAATTAATCTATATGTTTTCCTTGAACGACAATGCATCGTAACATTCCGGGAATTTTGTCCTTAAGTTGGAATTATTAACATGTTAAACCGTATAGATCTGCGTGCTGTATGTTACTGTGTAATATAAAGTATGAAGAAAAATTGCTATGTCGAATAATTTGAAGTTTTTTAAGATTTATAATCAAATCCCCCGCAGTTTCAAGGACAAATTTTACTTTCGGCAATAACACTTTTACGGGATCGACAGGGATGGTTAGATGCTAGAACCCGATCCTAAGCACCGGATTTTTCCCAATGCATAAAAAAAAATCGTTTATCAACGTGTACTGTATTTAGCAATTTAACCATTTGCCAATATTATTTTTAGCGTGATTTCATATTTCCAAATTCAAAACCATATAAATAGCCTTATGCGGGTATAATTTTGCACTCGACAAAAATATTTCACATATTAAGCCTTATGACATATTCGATAATTACGTATCATTAATTTGATGCCAAGAAAGAATAATCGAATTTGATTACTATTACTTAAATGATTTTTTTTTTATAAAAAGATTTTTCATAAAAATTTCTATCAAATAATTTCGATGTCAAAAATAAGTTGATTATAACTACTATAAGATAAGAAAATTAAATTTATATAAAACAAAAATGATTTTTATTACGTATTTAAAAAATATTTATCATATCTAAACATAATTGTTAAGATGATAAATAATCTGTATTAAATATCCTTTTAATAATTATATTGTAATTAAAAAATAAATGTTTTTAATTTATTGATTAAAATAATTTATAATTAATATTTGGATTTTGAAATATGTTTTGTCTAAAAAGCCTTTGAACAAATATTTTTATAATAAATAAATATTTATTTATTTGATATAAAATTTTAAAAATATATTTTTTAGAATGTAAAAAATTTGATATTAAGTATTTTAAATACTTTATTAATAAATTTCTATATATAAATCTATATATAAATTATAATTAAAAAAATAATTTCTAAAGAAAACAAAAAACTTTTTTCCATATACAATTTTTTTTTAAAAAATTTTCTTTATAATAATTTTTTTTTCAAAATTAAAAAAACAAATGTTTTTTTTTTGCCTTTTAATATTCAAAAATCCTTTATACTTTTTTTTTTATTATAAAAGTCTCAAGAAAACCAAAAAAATATATTGGTACATTTTAATGAAACTTTTAACTAGAGAAAAACAAGTTTAAAGACCTTGTTTTTCTTTGAATTACATGAGAAAAGATTTATGACAATTACTTTTTTATTTTTCTTGAAGTTTTTTTTGTTTTTTTTTCTAATATATAAATCTTTTTAAATAATTATATTTTCTACTTGAAAGATTTTTTTTTAATTCAAAAAATCAAATTTTACATTAAAATTGTTTATATTGTTAATTTGAAACATTAACAATATATTCAATATTCCTCTTTTACTATTTTTCAATATATTTTACTAAGTTACAAAAATTAAAAATTTTTATTCAAAAAAATTTTTCATCAAAAAACCATAATCAGTTTACTTTTATCCATTAATTAATATTTCAAACTCAATAAATCAAATATTATTAAATACTAAAGCAATTCTATATTATCAAAATATTATATAATGATTAATATAAATAAATTCTATTCTGATAATAACAATTAAAACAAAATTATATTATAAACAAATAAATTAATTAACATATTAATAAGAATATTAATAATTACAATAACAAAATATAATTTAAGTAATATATCAATAATGTTATTATTTACTTTAAATAATAGTTTAACTATTTTTAAAAATAATATTTCATTTTAATTAAATAAATTAATTAGTATAATATGCCTAATTCAAGATATTCTTTGTATTATAATTGGTTTTTTTTATATTTTTCTTTTAATTATTATCAAATTCTCAAATATAAACAATAATACTATTACTAATATTAACAATAATTCAAGAAACAGCTATTAAAAAGACATAATAGCTTGGCCATTTTGAAAAATATTACTATACTTTAGAAAAGTAAAACAATTGGAGTAATATTAGATATTATTTATATTATAATTAGTTTTTTTGCTATTTTTTTTTTTTTAGTATTTTCTTTTTTCACTTTTATATTTTCTTAAATTTTATTTCATATAATTTTAAGTAAATATTTATAACTGTTTAATACTATTTTTAATATATTGTTAGCATAAAAATCTGGCGAGTCTGTCGCTTGAGCGCGCCTCCTGTCGTGTAACAATGGAGTGCATCTTCTACTCGAAAGAGGTGGTCTGAGCCATTGGGTAGCACTACAGATCAATCAGTAGATCCAAGGATCTAGGGGGTTGCTACTCATGTGGCAATTTCTTAAGTGTAATGTATATGGGTCAGGTAATAGGGCAAATGTTCAACAATGGAATCTAGGAGAATGTCAGAGTTGCATAGTACCTGTCTGGAATTTTCCTTATTTTCGTCCCTTCTTCTGTTACTTATATACTTATTTTTAATATATACTTTATATCTACTATACATTTTATACCTGATATACATTTTATACCTGATATACCTATTATACTTGATATACTTGATATACTTACTATACCTTTTTCCTTATTATTTTCTATCACCTTTTTACATGCTAACAATATATTAATTTTAATATTTATTTTTCTGTCACTTAAATAGCTTTTGTAAACAAGCTAATATTAGACTTGTTAATCAATTGGTCATATAGGAAATATTACTTTTTTTATATAAAATATTGTAAAAATTTTATAATATAATAAAAAAATAATATTTACCTACTCAAAAAAAAAATTAAAAATAATATTTATTATATAAAATTTGATTAAAAAAATTATAAGAAAGTTTTTATAATATATAAAATAATTTTATTTTTTTATTTTATAAAAAAAAATTTCAAAAAATTTTATGTTTGTATTAAATTTTAATAAATTTATTAATTAAGCAATTTAAATTTAATAAAGTTATTTTTTAATTAATTTTGTTTTTATTTTATAAATTAATAAATTTTTATTTACTTATTTTTTTAAATAAAAAATATATATAGTATATATTTTATTATTGATAATATTAATTTATATAATTATAATTATACATGTTTTCTTATTACTACAAAAGAAAATTTGATTAACAATATAATTTTAAATTAAATATAATTTCCAATTACTTACTAATTGTTACTTAATAATCAACCCTAAAAGGGTTGATAGGATAATCAACTAAAACATGATTCTGTGTGACTATAAAATCTGAGAAGTTAAAGTCCGATATATATTTATATATGGATGATGAAAATAAGATATGCGGATATTTAAAATTAAGCTTTTTACAAAATTTTGGATTTATTTTTTTTTTTGGGTTTTGATTTTTTTTTCAGGTTTATTTTTATTAAGGTTTTTTTTTTGTTTTATATACAGTTTATATTTTTTTTATTTTAGAAAATTTCAGAAGAGATTTTTTTTTTTGGTTTATTATTTTTTTTTGTTTCAATTTTTCAATTTTTTTTTCTCGAGTTAATGTTTTTAGATTGTTTTTTCTTTTGGGTTTGGTTTTTTTTCCCCAGGTTTTAGTTCTGTTCTTTTAGGTTTCATTTTTTTGCTTCCAGATTTTCTTTTAGATTAGGTTTTTTATTGTCCCAGGTTTTGGTTGATTTTTCAGGTTTTATATTTTTTTTCGGGTTTTGCTTTTGTTCTTGCGGGATTGGTTTTTTTTTAAATTTTTCAGATAGATTTTTTTAGGTTTTTTTTAAATTGTATTATTTAATTAATTATTTTATAATTATATATTAAAATATAATGTTTTTTAATGTTTAAATTAATTACGTAATTAAAGGTTATTTTATTTAATTTTATTTTTTAATGCAGAGTT